CCCCCCCCCCCGCGTCCTGCCACCTCCTGAGCCGGCGGGGCTGGAGCTGAACACAGGTCGAGCGGTGCTTGCTGCCGGCTGCTCCGCACCCGGCCCTCTGCGCCTGGACAGCCTCCAGTGCGAGGTGCCGCCTGCCGCCCGACGGATACAGGGCGCCTCTTGCGCTGTGGGGGTGGCTTCTCGCCCCTCCTCTTCAGCCCATTCCTACCCCTCCTGGCAGAAGGAGTCTGTTCCCGTCACTCATCCCATGGTTACTCGTTCTGGGGGCACTTGTGCCGTGGTCACTCATCCCAGGGTCACTTATCCCGCGGTCACTCGTTCCATGGTCACTTGTCCTGTGGTCACTCGTTCTGGGGGCACTTGTCCTCTCATCCCGTGGTCACCCGTTCCACGGTCACTCTTTCCGTGGTCACTTGTTCCATGGTCACTCGTCCCACGGTCATTCATTCTGGGGTCACTTGTCCCGTGGTCACTCGTCCCAGGGCCACTGATCCCGTGGGCACTTGTCCCACAGACACTCATTCTGGGGGCACTTGTCCCGCACTCATCCCATGGTCACTCGTTCCGTGGTCACTCGTCCCGCAGACACTCGTCCTGGGGTCACTCGTCCCACAGTCACTTGTTATGTGGGCACTTGTCCGGTGGTCACTCATCCCGGGGTCACGTCCCACAGTCTGCTGTCCTCCCTTGCCCACCTTCAGCCCCTGAAGGTGGCCAGCACTGGCCTGAGCCCCGGCCTCAGGCGCGTGCTGTCCCTAGGCCGACGTTCAAATGCGCAGGCGCTGTCTTTAGCGGGTGGTGCTGACCCTGCCCACTGAGAGGGGCGAGGCTTCTGGGGAGACCCCTCTAGGGGAGCACGCACCGGCTGCATCACATGGCGCTGTCGCGTGCCCTGGAGCGGTCCGTGCAGGTGTCCTGGGGCGGCAGCGGCTGGGAGGTGCAGGCAGTGCTTCGTGCCCCGTGACATCTGTGGGACGGCCGTGCTGCTGTCACACTAACTCTTGGGCCTGGGACTCGGTTGTGACCCATATACCCCAGATCTCGCGTGCAGCGGCCAGGCCGACTCTTCCCCCCGGCCCAGTAGCGGATCATAGCGGCCTGTGTTCTTGGGTGTTTGGGGCACACGAGTGGGTTTCAGGCCCGGGGGTGGGCGCGCCTGCGATGCGTGAGGTCCCTCGTGCGCGGCTCAGGCGGCGTGCCCGAGCGCACCCACGCCTCCGCCTCCGCCCCCCTCCCCAGGTGGACCAGCGGGTGTTCAGAGACCTCCTGAGCGAGAAGCTACCCCGTCTGCACAGCCACCTGGAACAGCACAAAGTCGACTACACCCTCATCACGTTCAACTGGTTTCTGGTGGTGTTTGTGGACAGCGTCGTGAGTGACGTCCTCTTTAAGATCTGGGACTCCTTCCTCTATGAGGGACCAAAGGTGGGTCTGCTCGCCGGGTTTCTGGGCAGCACGGTGGTGGCCAGCTGCCCGGGTGCGTGAGGGGCCACCGTGGGGCCGGGGTCACAGGAAGCAGCCGCGCCGGGCCGAAGTGTGCCTCTGCTCACAGGTGTCTCTGTCCCGCCCACAGGTCATTTTCCGCTTTGCCCTGGCTCTTTTTAAATACAAGGAGGAGGAGATCCTGAGGTTGCAGGACTCCATGTCCATTTTCAAGTATCTCCGTCACTTCACGCGCACTGTCCTCGACGCCAGGTGCGTCCTTGGGGGCGGGGGGGCGTGGCGAGAGCGGGAGCGCTGGTCCCTGCTTCCCGAGGAAAGGGTGGGGACAGGCTGGGGACACCAGGTGGCCTCCAGTGATGGGGAGGGGCGG